TTACCTGGTAAGCCTTGTTGAGGATTCTCAGAGAGCGCGGACACCTCATGATGTTCATATCGTTCGCGAGTTTGTTGACGTCTTCCCAGACGAGCTTCCAGGAGGACCGCCCAACCGTCAGGTGGAGTTTTCGATTGATCTTATCCCAGGGGCTGGTCCAGTATCCAAAGCCCCATATCGCATGGCGCCTAAAGAGTTACAGGAGCTTAAGACTCAGATTCAGGAGCTATTACGACTCGGTTTCATCCGACCGAGCGTGTCACCATGGGGAGCACCCGTTCTCTTTGTTAAGAAGAAAGACAGATCTATGCGAATGTGTATCGACTACCGGGATCTCATCCGGTTGACGATTAAGAATAAGTACCCGCTTCCCAGGATCGACGACTTATTCGACCAGTTGAGGGGAGCCTGTGTATTTTCGAAGATCGACTTACGGTCAGGCTACCACCAGCTGAAGATTAAGGAGTCAGACATCGCTAAGACCGCTTTCAGGACTCGTTACGGCCATTACGAGTTTGTAGTCATGCCTTTCGGTCTCAGCAATGCGCCAGCAGTGTTCATGGATCTCATGAACCGTATCTTTCATCCATACCTCGATCAGTTCGTTATTGTCTTTATTGACGATATTCTCATCTACTCGAAGAGTCAGAAGGAGCATGAGGAGCATCTGAGGGTGGTTCGCGAAACCCTCAGACGAGAGAAGTTGTACGCCAAATTCTCCAAGTGCGAGTTCTGGCTTGAGCGAGTATCTTTTCTGGGTCATGTTATTACCCAGGAAGGCATCGAGGTGGATCCTTCTAAAGTTTCAGCCGTGCAGAATTGGTCGACACCGAGAAATCCGTCCGAGGTTCGCAGTTTTCTCAGATTAGCTGGTTACTATCGCAGGTTTATCGAGGGCTTCTCAAAGATTGCCCTCCCTCTTTCCCAGCTAACGAGGAAGTCTGTGAAGTTTGAATGGACTGACAGATGTGAGGCGAGCTTTCAGGAGCTCAAGAGAAGATTGACTACAGCACCGGTGTTGACTATCCCCGACCCTTCTCAGAGTTTCACTATCTATAGAGATGCTTCGAGACAGGGCTTGGGATGTGTCCTTATGCAGGACGGACGGGTCGTTGCGTATGCTTCACGTCAGCTTAAGCCCCATGAGCAGAACTATCCTACGCACGACTTAGAGTTAGCGGCAGTCGTTCACGCTCTGAAGATCTAGAGACATTACCTTTACGGCGAACGCTGCGAGATATTCACAGACCATAAGAGCCTGCAGTACATCTTCGCGTAGAAGGAGCTTAATAGGAGGCAGCGCCGTTGGCTCGAATTGGTCAAGGATTATGATTGTTCTATCCAGTACCACCCGGGGAAGGCGAACGTCGTCGCAGATGCCCTAAGCCGAAAGGTGACGGGAGACTTGACTTACGTCATCATGCAGCAGAGTCCGTTGATCCAGGAGTTTGCCCGGATGCAACTTCAGGCGATTGATGCACTCCCCACAGCTGTCTCGGGGAGCACTAGTGCCAGTGTCAGTGCGATGCAGCTTCAGCCGACACTGAGAGAAAGGATCCGGCGAGAGCAGGCTTCTGACGAGTTTGTGCGTGTCATGGAGGCCAAGGTTCACGCCGGAGGAGTACAGGATTTTCAGTTAGGCGCCGATGGTGCCTTGGAGTTCAGAGGCAGGATCGTGGTCCCGAAGGCGAGGCATTGCGGAAGGAGATTCTATCAGAGGCACATACCGCACCTTACTTGGCCCACCCCGGGAGCACGAAGATGTACCACGACTTGAAAGGGTCGTTTTGGTGGAGAGGCATGAAGAAGGACGTCGCAGAGTTCGTCAGGCGGTGTCTTACATGTCAACAAGTCAAGGCCGAACATCAGAGTCCGATTGGCCTCCTACAACCACTGCC